GTGCAGTTATTCAATGCTGTTCAGAAACATCAGAAGAATGTGGACGAGAAGGTTAGAGAGGCCGGAGGCTCTGTTAGAAAGCGTGCTAAGTTGGTATCAAGTGTTTCCAAGAGAGATTTCATCAGGATTCTCAGAGGAATGGATGCAACTACAAACGAGAAAAGTTCATTGGAAAAGAAGGCAAAAGCCAAACAGGTAAGACGTTATATAGGATTCAGTACATCAAGTGTTTCTGTTTTTTCAGATGGAAAAGAAAGCTAGAATTACGGTTTTATTTTCAGAGTTTAGTAAGAGTCCTATATGCCACAGTTGAACTTACAAGTTTGAATTCTTTAGTTTCATGATGATTGAAAACCATTTATAGTGTCATACACCTGCTGTTACAACTCAGGGCCAAAGAGATGAAAGTGAATGTGTTAGCATGCACAGTTCAGGGCCTCAACAGTGCATCTTAGAGAGTGGAAGCCCCTGAGGGCTGCAGCTTCACTTGAGGACTTTAACTTGCATGACCATGGTACTGTGTGATACAGAAGTTAAGGTAGAGAGCCACCCTCGTGTTGTGCAGCTTTGGTGATACTTTTCTGATGGGGAGAATGCTACTTGTAGATACTGTCCCTGATCTTCAGCATATAGAAACCCTGCTTCTGCCCTTTTGACATGGACTGCAGTGCTTTCTGTTTTAATGTTGGAGGTAAAACATTCTGCAATGTACTGTAATCCTTAATTGGTTTTAAAAATAAATATTCAATGTAAATGTTGGATGCAGTGTTTTAAGCTGACTAGTTTGTATTTTGCTATTGCAGGCCTAAAAGCTAATAGAATGTGTTTGTGTTGGAATGTAAAGTTTTCTTAGAAATTTGAGGTGAACTGTCCCACCTTCATACACTCAACTGTTTTTCTCTCACTCAGGGTCCACCCCTATTTTGGTTTCTAATTTTTTCCTTGTTAGAAGCTTTCCGAATCTTGTCCTTATTCCCCTCGTTCTAAAGTGCAGCAGTGAAATGCCCCAAGGTGCCTGTTCTGTTCTGTGGGCTGAGGGCTTACAGGGCTGCACCTTCAGTCAGCACTGAGTTCCGGTTTCTCATGTGGGCGCTAGTGATTTGGTGTAGTGAGTCCTTTTTGGTCCTCATCTCGGTCCAAGAAGTTTATACTTGTAATCCCAAAAATACATTATTGGAGTCCCACCAAGTTAATTATAATCTACCACTCCCAGTGCAACCCATGGCGAAAATAAGGACACTAAAGCATATTTATAATTATGGGGAGCCAAGCGGTCATGAGTCCAGCCATGGTGCTAGCTATCCAGGACAAAGGCTTTGATCCAGGGCCGAACCTGGGTTTTATTCAGTCCTGAATGAGGAGTGGCTTGAGGATGAATGACTGAGAATTGCAGGAAGTAGGTGAGCACTGTGAGCTTGGCCTGTAAATGCAGGTAGGAGGCCAGCAGTTACCTCCGTGATATGCAGAGAAGGATATGCAGAAAAGTGATTTGCATTATACTATTGAGATAGTATCTAATGTTTTGGGGTCTGGTGCTTCAGCCCTGATGTGTAATCTATCAAGCCCCAGGAAGTCATAGCCTCTATCTCAAGGCTCCGTCCCAGCCTGCAGCTTGGAGCACTGGCTCTTTGTCCTGTCTCAACTCGGCTCACATTAAAGAGCAGCAGGTGTGGGTTATCAGGGAAACACACACGCCACCTTCAAAGACTACCACCAGCACCACGGCTAGACCAATGTAAATGGCTTAAGGCCAATTAAAAGGATAAAGAGAAGTCTTAGCCAGCTCTGTACATAGAATTCGAGGAAATAGGCTCAGGCCCAGCCAAATGAAGACAATCGCTCTTCTTTCAAGAAGAGCTGCTCAGGTGGCCCTCCACAGCTGAGTTAAAGCTCTGTCAGGTGCAAGGCATGCTTCTGCAATCCAGCACTCGGGAGACTGAGGCAAGGGGCTTGTGAGATCAAGGTTGGCTTAGGTGACATGGTAAGAGACACATGAAAAGAAAAGACAAGAGAAGAATCACTTTGTCCCTGTGCAGTGACTGCTATTAATGATATCCCCAGAGGCCACACGCAGTTGTCTCACCTCCCACATGGGAATCTGGCAGGTACCCTTGCTTTCACTTCCTCTCTATAGCTGTGTAGCTCGCTGATCCCCAAACAGTGCCGGCCACAGGTGTATGGGGGTGGGGCGCTTTAGACTCTGTGGATGTATGAATAGCTATCAAAGCCAAGTGGATTCCTTCTGTCACTTTACAACACTTTCTCATAGGTCCCTGCTGCAGCCCCATTATACTGAGTGCATTCTGGCAGGTGTGTGGAGAAGGATGGCCTGTGACCGGGCTGGTCCTTGGAGGGAGGACACTGTGGGCCTCTTCGTGCCGGTAGGGTCAGAAGCCCCATCTACAGCTTTTACCTTTAAAAAAAAATCATGGTCCAGCCACGTGAGATGGCGCACATCCATCATCCCAGCATCCTGGGAGAGCTGTGCTGCTGGCAGAACTTTCTGGTCAGTCTCTGTCTCGGCTACTCTTCTTGTCCCCGAGGCAAAATCCCCAACACTCACAGTTACAGAAGAAAGGTTTATTTAGCTCACAGCCAGTTTCAGTCTGTGATCAGCTGGCTCCAAGGCAGAGGTCATCGCGGAGGAGCAGCAGTCCGTGGCAGGGCAGGCAGGAGGCAGCAAGCGGGTGAAGAGCAGCCGCAGCAATGGTGGCGGTGGCGGCGGTGGCAGCAGCAGCATCTGTCACCGCTGCTGCCACAGCTGCCTTCTCTCTGTCCCGTTAGGTCCACTCACACCCAGCTCGGGCACCCTTAATCCCAGCATCGCACACCCTGGAACCACATCCTCTGAAAAGCCCCATCTGTGCCTGTGACCACATGAGGCTCTGGGGAGACAACTAGACACACAGGAACCAGTTTTTAAACCAGTAAAGTCCAGGCTTACAAAGCACATCTGTCCATTTGGGTGCACTGTGGCTTGGAGCAGAGTGGCGCCCTCTGCAGACAAGGGGCAGCAACAGCATCTCTGCTCGCGTGGGCGCAGGACATGGTACAGGGTGCCCAGGGCCTCAGCCGTGCTGTCCTGTGCCTGTCCCTCGCAGGGTGCATGGCCTGGAGGTGCAGGGCCGGGACTGTGGCGAGGCGGCTGCGCAGTGGATAACCAGCTTCCTGCAGTCACAGCCCTGCCGCTTGGTGCACTTCGAGCCGGACATGCGGCCCCGGAACTCTCGGCAAATCAGGGCAGCATTCGCGCCTTCGGACCAGGTGAGCCTCCGTCATCGGTGGGCAGGTGGGGGCGCAGTCACCTCAGCGCTGCAGACTCATGGCGCCCCTGAGGAACCTGGGGCTGTGGTTCTCCAGGCAGGGGACACAAAGGAAGTCTTCCCAGGGGAGCAGCACGCTGCTTCTCCCTTTGGGGGAGCCTGGTGCAGTCTGGTGCCAAGAGCAGCTCAGAGCTGTTCTCTCCTCTTCACTGCCCCGTAACTGTGTGCGGAGCCCTTGGTCTCCACAGCCTCCTTGCGCACCTCGCGGCACAGGGTGCTGCGGAGAGATGGACTACCTGCGGCTGGCTGGGCCGTGGGGCTTCCCCTTGCCGGCAGGGCCGGAAGCCCCACTCACTGCTTTTGCATTAAGCATCCCAGCACCCTGGGAGGCCGAGGGCAGGAGCCCACAAGGCTGAGCCCAGTCAGGGCAACTCAGTGTCAAAATAGACGATGATGATGATTGATGATACTACTGACAAAAACGTGGATGTTCCCAGTCGAAGGCTCTGGGTTCAACCCTAGCACCATAAAAGTAAACGGCAACGTAAGTACTCAAGGTTAGGGTTGCACAAAGAATAGCACCTCTGGAGTATGGGCAGAATTAGTGGATGTTTTACTCCACCGTAACAAGCCTTCCAAGCCCAACCGGCTATTACACGTGGGAGCCGCTGGGGGCGTGGCCAGGGACTCGTCCCCAGGGCACGCGCCAGGGCAGCTCCCGGGCCATGGCTGGGCTCCCCTCGCCCTGCCGGAGTCTGAAGACCGCTTAGGGATTCCAATCTCTATGACTTTGCTACGAAATGACCTAGAGAAATACTTAAAAGACTGTGATTGTGGAGCGGACATGCTCGGGACCTAGAGGCAGGAGCCCGAAGACGTTGTCCGCTGCGCCCCGTGACGGTGCCCGTCCCCTGCCAGGTTGCCTACTCGGATGCCAGCCCGTTCCTGGTTCTCTCTGAGGCCTCCCTGGCCGATCTGAACTCCAGACTGGAGAAGAAAGTGAAAGCGTCTCACTTCCGGCCCAATCTCGTCATTGCGGGATGTGGCGCCTACGCAGAGGTAGGCGCCTCCTCGCTTCTTTCCTTAGATTTGATTTCTTCCTTAAAGGGCAGAGACCTCTGGTGCTGGATTAGGTCATTCCGAAGGGCGGGAAAGTGCGCGTGGCTCTGCGCTGCGCCCTGAGCGTGGGCTCGGGCGGGGCGGGCCCGGAGGAGGGTCCCAGGCTGCCCCAGCGCTCGCCTCTTCTAGGACTCCTGGGACGAGCTCCTCATTGGGGACGCGCGGCTGCGAAGGGTGATGCCCTGCACCAGGTAGGGCGCCTGCCTGTCCCCCGGGCGGCGGGCGGGGCCTCGCTGCCGCCCCGGCTGACGCGCTGTGTGCGGCCAGGTGCATCCTCACTACGGTGGACCCGGACACCGGCGTCATGAGCAGGAAGGAGCCGCTGCAGACCCTGCGGAGGTAGGACGGGCGGATGGGCACCCTGGAGGCTACGCCCGCTGCGAGGGTGCACTTTTTCGACCAATTTTGCATGCTTAGATCTAGTAATCTGAGCAAATAATTTGAAGACTACCATATGCAATACAACAGCCATTGTTGAATTCCTAACACTTTGTTTAGTGAAATTCTGTATCCTTTCTAATTTTTTTTAAAAAAGGCCACAAAAAGCCAGGTGTGAGACAACGCTGCTTCCTGTGCCCTGAACTGAGATCAGCAGGCTACTTGCAGTACCTCTTTTTCTGCACAAGGGGGCGCCAATGGCCTTGCCTGGTCTTCGCTTGCTCCTAAGCAGTGATTGCAGCGCTGCACGCAGCGAGGAACGGTGGGGGGCTGGGAGACCCCGCAGCCACACAAGGGACAGTAGGATGGCAGCCTGCGGCCAGCGGGGGCCAGTTCTGTACTCCGGGCTCTTGTACAACTGTCCCCAGACACCAGTGCGGGCCGCACCTGCAGCCCAGGTGACACAGCTGTGGATCTGCCGGCCTCCTCGCCTCTCCTCGCTGACCTGGGGGCCCGTGTGTCCACTGGGAGGGGCGGATGCGACTTGAGTGTTCCCCTTGCTCCCCGGGGGCCTGTGGGACGGGGACAGAATGCGGGTGACCAGCAGACCTGGTGCAGGCTCAACCTGGCACTTAGATCCGGGGTCTCGGGCAGTGGAGCAGCACCATGAAGGCCAACAGGAGCCCCCAGGCGCGGCGGGGTGGGCCCCTGCCCCCCAAGCGGGGGGTTCCTGCCTGAGGCACGGAGCCCAGGACCCAGGGCTGCGGGAACAGCCAGGTCCGAGCCTCCCTGGCCTGGCTGGAGGAGCCCCATCTCCGCGTCTGTGCTGTCAGCTGCTCTGAGCTGCGCCTGGGCCCCACCTGGGTTCCCCGGGTCCATGCCCTGCAGTCCCAGCGCAGAAGGAGCAGCCCCAGTGTTCATTTGTCTTTTATTCATTCATTAGTCCACCAGCGCTTCTCTGAGGGCAGTACGCATGGGCATGAGTGGGATGCAACCACTGTGCCCTAGGGTGCTCTCAGTCGGGGGTCTGAGGGGCTCTGGAGGAGCTTCCCAACCGACCGACCCCAGCTTTCCAGCCTCTTGCCATTTGGAGAGCATCACCCGGCCTGAGTGTTGCAATAGTTTTATTTTCTTATTTTTGAAAAGCTTCTCTTTTAAATGCAAGACAGAATGAAATTAGCACTTCCAGCTGTGGTCCTTTAAGTATGTGCACATAAGGCTAGGGGCGGGCTGGCCGCCCCTGGGCCTTCTTCCTGCTCTCCTTGATTTTTTACCTGGAAAAGATCCTCCCACACAGGGTGACTCTCGACATGTCCAGTCACCAAGGAGCTGTGGGCTGCAAGTGGCCTCCCTGGCCAGCACTGGCTTGAGCAGGATGGGGGGTGGGATGTGGATCTGTCCCCAGGGCTCCCTGTCCTGCAGGACAGAGGCTTGTCCTGCAGCACCCCAGGTCAGGAGGAGGACGCTGAGGGCAGGCGGTCAGGCCTGTCCAGCCAAACCACCTTCCCTCCCAGTGCTGACAAGGATCATTCCTGTAGAGACGCGGGGACACAGCCTGGGCTGCGCTCCTGTCTTTGTACCCTGGCTGACAGTCGGCTGGCCAGCTTCAGAGGCACGGTCCCATGACCAGGCTGGCGCGTGGGGCCAGGGCTGTGGACCCGACCTCAGCCCATGGGTGGCGCCAACTTCTGGGCTTGTGCCTCTGTTTGCCTGGACTCACAGTGCTCTTTCTCCTGTTGCAGTTATCGCCAGTGTGACCCTTCAAAACAGAAGATATATGGACAGTCACCGCTCTTTGGACAGTACTTCGCTCTGCAAAGCCCAGGGACAGTCAGGGTGGGAGATGCTGTGTACTTGCTGGGCGAGTAGTGGGAATCCGTGTCCTGGATGTTGGACGCCTCCCTAAAGTCCTCCAAGATGACTGCATGTGGCACAGTGCCTGAGATCCACGACTTAAGTACAAGGTTTAATTTGGTTCACGGTTTCAAGAGAACGGTCCCTGGTTATCAAGCCTTTGTCTTCTTTGCAGCTCCAGATCTGTAATTTCTGCATGTTTTTCTAAGGACGATTAAATTAGAGCTAGATGGAGATGGATGAGACTTCCTGGGTGTTGCGATTTAGACCTGAAATGTCGTCAGAAGTCTCCAGTGTGTGGCGGAAGGTGGTGGGATCATGGGGCGTGGTGCTCCTGGGCATTCCTTCGCCCAGCCGGGTTGACACATTGGGGCAACAGTCACAGCTTGACAGCGGGACATCTTCTTCAACCACGCTTCACCTCTAAGTAAAGATGGTGGCAAGTTTGTGGTTGTGCCTAACGTGGTGCAGCCTTCCTGCACACAACCCAGAATGCACCAGTCCCCTCCCCGAAGACTTAACAAGTCCAACATTTTTCAGAAGTCCAAGTCTTTTCTGAGACTCGAGGCAAATTCTTAGCTGGAACCTTTGTAATAAATAAATAAACAAATAAATAAATGTTGGATAAAGCTAAAGTACTGAGACTGTTAGTCCTGATCTGTCAACTTGGTTCAATTAAGCCACGCCTAGCCTAGCAGATTAGTAATGCGGGCTCCTGGGTGTCAGTCTGGGTTATGGAGTTGTGACCTCAGCCTCTCTCTGAGGGTCCTAAGCCTTTTCTCCCTGACACCGTTGCCTACTCTGACTGCTGATCACCCGTCAGGTGAGCAGCCCCCCTCACCATTCCCTCCCAACCTGGAGGTTTTGGCCTGGAACCCTGATGGGCATGACTGGAATCTCTTGAAGTTGAGCCAGATTAAATTTTGCTTTAAGTTGTGGATATCAGGCATTGTGCCTCGAGGGCAGCAAAGCTGACTGGTACAGAAAATTAGTGCCATGTGGCGCAGAGGCCCTTGGCCCTGGCTTGTAGGAGGCACTTGGAAAACTTGCCACCTAGAGAAGCCTTCGGTGCTGAAGGCGGAGGCTGCTGGGCGGGCCTGCTCCGAGCGCAGGGCAGGCGGCTGGCAGGGGGGCAGCCCGCAAGAGCTGGGCTCAGCGGGTTTCGGGTAGGAGTGAAGATTCCATTGGCATTAGGACTACAGATTGTGTGTTGTACCCTGACATAAAACTTATCTACATTTTTCCTGTGTCCCGAGATTTTGCAGGGGACCTAACCTAAAGGAAGTGGACTAATTTACTGGGTGGAACAGCCAGGGAGATAGCTCAGTAGAATAAGCGCTTTCCCGGCAAGTGCAGGGTCCTGAGTTCAATCCCCAGTACTGCAAAAAAATGAAATAAAATAAAAAATAGTAATAATTTACTGGATAGAGGAAATTTTAAAACATGTTAACTTTCAGACTGTGACGTAGTGGCTGCTGGCTCCTCTTAGTCAGGTTTGCAGTGAGGACTGCAGGTAAAAGGTGTTGCAGGGAATTTGAAGAACTTATATATTGGCAGGAAAGACACATGTTAAAGTTGGGCCAGAGAAAGTACGGCTGCTAAGAGACTAAAAGTATTTGAAAAACCAACCAAGTAACTTATGCAGAGGCATGAGAAGAAAGGTGACTTGAAGGAACCTTGGGAGAGCAAGACCCCACCCCCTGCAGGCTCACAGGTACAGAAGTTGTCCACTTGCTTCAGAACAGCTTGCGAGGAAATTGATTCCCCAGGATTCATTTCCCTGTGCCCAGCCATCCAGCCATTCAGAGGCCGCTGCAGCCACAGTCCAAGGGGCCCGGCTGCTGCTTCCACTAACAGTAGATTTTGGCATTATTTTTCCTGTGTTTCACATGGTTCTGGTTTTTCTGGCATGCAGAATAGAAGTGTTGTGGACTGTGGAGGCTCACACTCGGCTTTCAGAGGAAGGCCTGGGAAGCCAGGCGAGGAGCCCTGAAAGGCAGTGTGTGAGGCTGTGGGGATGATGCCTCCTAGAAATCGGAGAGAGCAGGAATATGGATTGTGAGCAGAGCTGCAAGTTATGGATGGTGCCAGCCCTCAAGACAGGCCAGGCGGCCTGCAGCTGGCAAGGCCATGGGCTGGGCCATCAGCGCCCGTTGGAACACTCAGCTCACCACCATGTGATCTGGAAGCCAGGCCTGTAGGTGCAGGACTTACTATGGTGGGATTCTCTTCTATCCCCGTTCCTCCCTCAGAAATGTGAAGGTTTACGCTTTGACATTGTAGCTTGGAATTGTGTGACTTGTTTTATATTTTTACTTAGGCTTGCAACTAAGAGTTTGCCTTAAGTCTCTGAAAAGACTTGGCTTGTGAAAAATGCCGAGAGTGTGGACTTGGGGGAGACGGTCATTGCATTTCTGGTTTCGGCAGGATGGTTATGTTAAGCAGAATCATGAACTTGGTGTTGTCTGTATTTGGTGACAAGGTATGGCTTAAGGCGATGTACTTGGATGTGGAATCAACAGGTAGTGATTGTGACTGTTAATCCTGATGTGCTGACTGCACTGGATTAAGAAGCACCTATGAGATGCGTCTGGGTGGGGGCGTGACCTGCCCACTGTACATGGGCTTTTTGACCACATGTCTCTGGTACCAGTTTTCTGTATTAGTCAACCTTCATGTCACCAAGCCACAACACCCAACAACCACAACGTGAGGAGGAAGAGTTTACTGTGGCTCATGGTTCCAGGGGATTGAGTCCATGGTCAACAGGCTCCTTGGCAGGAGCATCACGGTGCACAGGGTTGGCAGAGGAGAGTCTGCACAGTTCATGGCAGCCAGGAAGCAGAGCAGCAGAACAGTGCCTAAAAGGAAGGGCCTGGACCTTTGGGAGTACCCAGGCCCATCTTCACACACCATGTCCACACACCCAGGCCCATCTCCACCACCCACGCCCACACACCAGGCCCACCTCCACCACCCACGCCACACACCAGGCCCACCTCCACTACCCACCCACACACACACCAGGCCCACCTCCACTACCCCCACACACACACCAGGCCCACCTCCACCACCCACACCCATATACCAGGCCTACCTCCACTACCCACGCCACACACCAGGCCCACCTCCACCACCCACGCCACACACCAGGCCCACCTCCACCACCCACGCCACACACCAGGCCCACCTCCACCACCCACACCCATATACCAGGCCTACCTCCACCACCCA